AAGCACACACTAGAATGGAGCATTCATAGAATTCTTACAACTTTTTGTTTAGTGGATAGGTAACATTCACATTAACACACTAGGGTGATGCGTTTATAGAATTTTTACATTTTATTTAGTGGATAGAATTTATACACACTAGGATTTTGTTTATAGTTTTTTATAGTTTAGTGTAACACACACATATACACACTAGATGGGTGTGCGTACTTTATAGAATTTTTACATTTTATTTAGTGGATAGGTAACATACACATGTACACACTAGGATTCCGTGTTTATAGAATTTTTACATTTTGTTTAGTGGATAGGTAACACACACATATACACACTAGGATGGCGTGTTTATAGAATTTTTACACTTTGTTTAGTGGATAGGTAACATTCACATGTACACACTAGGGTGATGTGTTTATAGAATTTTTACATTTTGTTTAGTGGATAGGTAACATACACATGTACACACTAGGGTGGAGAATTTATATAATTTTTACATTTTGTTCAGTGGATAGGTAACATACACATGTACACACTGGGGTGAAGAGTTCATAGAATTTTTACATTTTGTTTAGTGGGTAGGTTACATACACATGTACACACTAGGATGGCGCATTCATAGAATTTGTACAACCTTTCTCTTAGTGGATAGGTAACATATGCATGTACAGACTAGGATGGAGATCCATTGAATTTTTACAGCCTTCTGTTTAGAGGATAGGTAACATACACATGTACACACTAGGGTGGAGCTTTTATAGAATGTGTACACCCTTTTGTTTAGTGGATAGGTAACATACGCAGCACAAACTAGAATAAAGCATTTCTAACATTTTTACAACCTTTTGTTTACTGGATAGGTAACATACACAGCACACACTAGAATGAAGCATTCCTAACATTTTACAATGTTTTGTTGGATAGATAGGTAACATACACACACACACATGAGGATGAAGCATTTATAAAGTTGTTACAGCCTTATGTTTAACTGATGGGTAACATTCACACGCACACTCTAGGATGAAGCATTCATAAAGTTTTTACAACCTTTTGTTTAATTGATG